GCTATATGTCAAACACTTTATTCATTATCTCATATGATGGTTATAATGATCACAGATGTAGGCATTATTTTCTTCCCCATTTATAGATGAGGAAACTAAGGCACAGATGTAAAACACTCATGGTCCTATGCTGGTAAGTTCCAGAGCCAGATTTTGGACCTACTAAGTCTAACTGTAGAGCAGACATCCTCAAACTATGGCCCGCAGGCCACATGCGGGCCGCCTAGCACATTATCAGGCCTTCCGGGTATTTTTGCCACCGCTGCCTGTCCTGCTTAGCAGCTGACTTGTCCCAGGCCCACAGTGCACACTCTCCAACGGTCTGAGGGACAATGAACCATTTAAAAAGTTTGAGGACCCCTGCTGTAGAGAGATGCTCTTAACCATTACATTAGTCTCCCACCACACACACACACACATATATATACACGTGCATGTCCTTATCTAATTCTTTATACATATTTGTGCTTATATACACATGTACTCATATACCTAAGAACATGCTTTGGCTCTTGAACAAAATTTAATATAAAGTGAAAACACAAATGGAGGTCAGTAGGTCATCTCTTGGAGAACTGTGATAATAAACACCTGAGATGGCTATGCAACTACCTGGGTTTGAATTCTCATCTTTTCTTTCTGCCACACTTTTCTACACCAATAAATAGTCTCCCACACATGCAATAAGGGAGCCGTGGGCTTCTGAGCACATTCAGGAAACAAGCAACACTCACACCTGTTTAGCCTTATGCTTTCTGACAGCTTTAGAGGTATAATATGGCCCTAGGTCTTTGTTTCAGTAGAGTGGGTGGAAGGGGCTTTTTGCCAGCCAGAATGCATTGAAAGTTCACGGCAGCTGCCTAGAAACTACTGCAATGTTTCCCACCAAAGACAAACAAACTAGTTTAGACTCCCAAGTATTTCCAAGAATGTAGGGGTTTTTGATCTGTTGTTCCTTCCAGCCTATTGTTCCAGAATTCTAACTAAATAATGCCACATGTAATACTCCCCAGGCTTTAAGAAAGATATAATTTGAATAATTTGGGATGGCTTAATTTTCTCTAAAAAGTGCTCACAAGTTTTTAAGACTTTCTTATTTGTGGGCAGTAATCCCTGGTGTGTAGATGGTATTCCAAGTGTATTCCTTCCTGATGGTCACCACAGGGCCACATGCTTGAGTCTAATTGGCAAGAAATGTATCATTATGTACAGATTTTGCCTATGTATTTCTCCTTTGTTTTGTGAAATAGACTACTCTCTCAGACTAATTTTCTTTTTTCTTTCTTTTTTAAAATAAAAGCATTGTTGAAATTGACATACCATAGTTATCTATTTAAAGTGAGAAATTCAATGCTTTGTAATATATTCACAGTTACACAATCATCACCATAATCAATTTTAGAACATTTTGATTACTCTAAAAAGAAATCCTAGAACAAATCTAATGCCTAGATCTTAGCTTCTAAGAATATTCTCCAATAAAAGGATCCAAGGGTCCTTGGAAAAAAATGGCTGATTTTAAGATGGGGTAGGAAATATACAAGGTCAGCCTAGAACATTTTGTAGTACCAGCAAGTAAATTAGTGCTTTAAAAACCAACAACAAAAAAATAGGTGCAAAACTCACCAAACCCTGTGCTCATGGGGACATATCAAAGGGACTCAAGAATCAACTGAAATAGCTTCCAGTGGCCAAAGATGGAAAAATCTGAGCAATAAAGTAAAAAAGTAGTATTGGATCACAACCTAAGCATTAAACAATATTCATGAGTCCATATTGATATTAATAAATGATTGAATAAATAAATAAATGGGGGAGAACAGACAAATTTTCCTTGCCAAATAATTTATAGTTTTTAAAATCGTTTATATCTCTTCATCAATATTCTCTATTTGATGAGACATTGTCATCGTACCTTCCTTTACTTTCTCAAGCATAGTTTCCTTTAGGGTTTTGTAGTCTTTGTCTATTAAGTCCAACATCTGTGCCCTCTCATATGCTGTTTGTGTTGCTTGCTTTGTTCCTTGTGTATGAGTCACACTTTCCATGTCTCATAATTTTTTGTTGAAAATTTGATATTTTTAGGTAATACATTGTAGCAACTCTGGATGCTGATCTCCCTCCCCTCTTTGAGGCTTGTTTTTGATGTTTGCTTGTTTGTTTATTTTTTGCTTGTTTGTTTGGTTGGTCCACTGTAGTGAAGTCTATGTCCCACATAATGTGAAGCTTATGATGTCATTTCTCAGAGGGTGGAGACTTGGTCACGCACAGGGTCACTCCAGGATCGCAATGATGTAAGCAAGGCTCTTTTTGTCTTTTTCGCTGATCTATCTGTTAAGATGTCTATTTCATTTGCTATCCCACCCTGCTGATAGTTTCCTATAACTGCTGGCCAATTACACTATTGGTTTTGATAATGCCTGAGGCATAAATTGCTCCACAGTCTGATCCTATTAAAGCTAGTCCCCTTGGCAGGGACAGTTTTGAGGTTTGTTCTAATCCTAGGAGGGCTTTACTTAGCAGTCTCTTTCCTTTGTTTTTTCTGGTAAACTTGTGGGCCCACATTTTAGTTTGCTGCTGTCACAGAGCTGCCCCTTAATTTATTGCCACCAAATTTCCATTGTTTTTTTAAAGTACCCTTAGGCTTGAACTTCCTCCTACTCTGCTCCAAATAAAGTTAGTTTCTTTGGGGTGAACATCAGAGCTCTCTGTTCTTGTGGTCTGCCTCATCTCCTGGGTAAAAATTTCTGAGCCACTGCTCCAGAGCTGGGATAAGGGTGACACCCCTGCCTTATGAGCAGAGTGCTGGGCAGAGGCAGTAGCCTCTAGTGTCCTTGGCTTGCCTGTCCTCAAGCCTGTCCTAGTATGGAATCTCCACCCCATGGGAAAGCTGAGGCCAGAACAACGGGGGCTCCAGTATTCTTGGACTGCCATGTCCAAAGTAGAACCTCTGCCTTATGAGTGGGGGTTGTGGGGGAAAAGGGAGTAACCTTTTGGTGACACCTGGCAGGAATTTAGTTTCTGCAACTTGGAGCTGAAAAGGATGGAGAAATGTTGGTGGCCATACCCTCTTGGTGAGATACTGTATCCCTTACCTTGGAGTGGAGGGAAAGGGATCCCCTTGTTCTTGGCCACACCTGCCCAGACTGGTGCTTCGGTGGAGAGCAGGTTGTGGCCCAAGTGCCACAGACTCTTATTGTTCTTACTAAGATTTAGTAGAGTTTCTTGAACAGATATTTCTCAATTTGCTGCATGCTCTTAGGACAATTTCCAGAGACTTTAAATGGTTGCTTTTAAAAAGTAATTTTTACTAGTTATGGTTGTTTTGGTGGGGAAAGGTTCCATGGAGCTTTTCATTCCATATTCTCACGGTGGAACTCCTCTTATTTTCTCACCCTGGGCATATACCATAGTTTATTTTCATGAACTCTCTGGTGTTTAGGAGTCTGTCTACCCACCTGATATGAATCTAGATTTTCTGTACGTCAGCATCTCAGCATAGTGAAATAGGGCCAACTTCCTGACAGAGGAAAGTGGAGGGAGATGTGAGTTCTGGCTGTGCCGTGTCTACCCAGGTTGTTCTGATTTATCTGCACAATCCCCCATGGCCCATGCTCAGTGATTGCATTTCTAACACATGAGGAGCAGTAAGGTTGGGAATTCAGTGATACAATCCCACTGGACGGAGCCCAACATCAAAGAGCTCTCCTCAACTCCTTCCAAATTAACCAGCCAAATTCAGTTGAACCTTTTGTTACAAACTGTGGAACACTGGGTGATTTTATATGGTACAGGACTAACATTTTTTGGTTGGTGATTTATAGGCTCACTAGAAGAAAGAACTTATATAAAAAGGAAAGTAAATGTGAATATAGGTAGAGATTTATAGAGAGAGTGTCTCTTAGTATACAGAAACATTAAAGATTCATGACAGGTGGCAACTATGGCAATGTTTCCCTTTTAAAAACAAACAAACTGGTTTAGACTCCCACATATTTCCAAGAATGTAAAAGGTCTCTGAAACTGTTTTTCTTTCCCTTTTACTGTTCCAATACTGTAATTAAAAAGTGCCACATCCATACTTTATTATTCTCCAAGGCTTTCAAAAGTGTGGATGATATGAGAATGTACAATTTAAAGATGATTAATGTACAAGCACATACATACACAGAGAACATCAAAATTGTAATTTCACAATATTTTTACTTAGACAAGGCTAAAGTAGATTTTTTTTTTCCTTCACAGTAAGCCAATTTAAAAGTGATCCCGAGACACAGCAAAAATTGTACAGGTGGTATGAAAATAATTGGATTTTGGAAAAAGATATAAAATATAAAGTAAAAATTTTACATGTTACCAAATATGTTTAGACAAAAAAATAATAACAACCAAATTGGTTGTTTGACTACAAGCATGGCAAAAAGGTGCATTCAGAATTCTCTCTTCTAATTAGTTATACCAGACAGCTTAAACCACAGGGAGCTCCAACAGAGAAAAAGGGAAAATAATGGTTCCTCTTCTTCCACCCACATGGACTTCTTATTTGTAGCTTCAGGTACGGCTAATCTTTCCCTTTTCATTTTTGCTAAGGCAATATCAGGATTAGCTTGAATGAGCAGACAGGCTCAGTTAACATAAAAGCGGAGCATCTGCAGACCCTTGCTGAATTACCCAGTCAGCAGGACAGAGGTTAATTAGGAACGGGCCAGCAGAGCCACAATTCAGATGGACCTGAAGCTTCTAGTCAATTGCTGATAATAGCATCATTTTCCAGTTTAAGAGCAATCTTCCAGGAAAGGCTTGTGATTGCTTTCATGGGCGAGTTGCCACCTAGAAACTCAAAGCAATGATTTTTTTAAAAAAATCTCTTTTGTTTCGAAGTGTTGATCCCAAAGTCATTTTCAAATTTATGAATGTATCAGATCAGGCTGCGATAGAAACAGTTGTTATTCCAGCTCTATACATCTCAGGGCAGCCTTGCACGTAGCTTCCCAATGACATTGACGGTAACATTTGTGTTTCACACTGCCTATGTGTCTCTTCTTCTTGGTCAATCTTACCTGCTGTTCCAGCTCCTCGCCTGAGAAGAGGATCAAGTTTCAGGGAAATGGACACACTCAGCAAAATCTCCCACCCCCCACCCCATTTTAAAAAAAAGAGAGATTTTTCTGAAAACCAAGCTTAAGCAAACACGATCAGGAGCCTACTTCTCCCTATCCTTCAATTTAATGCCAATTGTCCTTATTCATCTCTATCTTGCTTAACCAGTTTTGCCGGTGAACTTGTCAGTGACAGCATTAACCAACATGAGTTTTGCTCTTTCTTGCCCTACATTGCCTTTGTTAGAAGGTCTAAATAATTGGACACAATAAGGATACAGAATAGCGAAATCAAAGAAGCATTAGGTCTGGAAATTTATTGGCATAAGAGAAGGACTGACCACAATTATGAGATCTATGTGTGGTAATAACATATCTAGCGTGTGACACATCCCGAGGCCTCCTGAGATTTCTCACCTGTCCCTTGGACCAGCAGCCGAATGGAATGAAAGACTCCATCTAGGACCTCGTGGTTCCCTGTGTGTTGTCTTTAGCTTCTCCTCCACTTCTGATCCCATAAAATGCCACTCCATAGGTTATGGAATCTCCCCCAAAGAGGCCTGTTATCAAAAGGGACCATGTGACCCAACCCAGAAATACAGGAGCATTGACTTCCATCGGGTACATGTTGACGCGTGGGAATGAGGACACGAGAGGGAGTCAGAGCACCTTTCTCTCTATTCCTCCCTCTGATGCGTTGTTCTGAGGTGTGATTTTCATTCTTGTCTGGAGACATCCTGTACCTGCCAAGCAACTGGCTGTGTCACTTCGTGGAGTATTGTGACCCAGCGGCCAAGGTCGCCATGCATGCACTTGTATTTGCTACCCGTTCCCATCCTTCCTTTACTTCCTTTTCACTCACTCTGGCCTGTGATTGTGCTTCCCAGTAGAGAACTTATCCTTGCCCAGACTTTTTTCTTAGGGAGGAGCCCCTTCTAAGATGCATCCTAAATATTCCAGGGCAGTTCCAAATAGTCTTCCTCTTTATCTCTATAAACTCTTTAGTGTTTGCCAAAGTATGTGATCCCTTCTCTTTTATTCCACTTTAGAAAATCCCAGAGATTAAAGAAGATGGTGGTAGCTCTTTAATTCAATTTTTAAATTTCTGTCTTTAATTTGCTGGCCTATGTTTTTAATTAATTTTGATTCTCTGCTTTTGTGTTTTCTTTCTTTTCTGCCTGGTAGAATTTGACTAATCCTTCAAAGTCCAGATAAATGTGATCTTCTGGGTGAAGCCTTTCTTGTTACATCTGCCCACACCTGCCATGCCATAGTCATGCCACCTCAAGTCAGATGTAGCAGAGCCTCCATCGGCACTGCCTAGAGTCCTGAAGTTATGTTCTTGTCAGTTGGATACAAAATAACCATGAATTTCCCCCTCCTCTGTCAAGTCATACTGATTTTTTTTTATATCCAGCACTGATCTATATAAGGTGTTCAATAATGTTTGCTGAATGAAGATGGTTTGGGTTGCCCTTTTTTGTGTCCATCATTGTTGCATCTGTCCCGGCCCAAATAGGCCCTCTTGCTCTGGACAGGACAGTGACTTTAACCTCTGTGCCGCCAGTCTCATTTAGACAATGCAATCAACATAAAACCACCAGGCCACTCTTTAAAAATATCACCCTTTCCATAGAGAAAAGATAGCATAACAGAGAAAGAATGTAAATGCACAAAGTGTAGACAGCATTAACATTTAATAAATGTTAGATACGTCATATCTTTTTTTGTTTTGTTTTGTTTTGTTTTTTTTGAGACAGAGTCTCACTCTGTAGCTTGGGCTAGAGTGCCGTGGCGTCAACCTAGCTCACAGCAACTTCCAACTCCTGAGCTCAAGCGATCCTCCTGCCTCAGACTCCCAAGTAGCTGGCACTACAGGTGCATGTCACCACACCCAGCTAATTTTTTCTATTTTGGGTAGAGACAAGGTCTCACTCTTGCTCATGCTGGTCTCGAACTCCTGACCTCAAGCAATCCTCCTGCCTCAACCTCCCAGAGTGCTAGGATTACAGGCGTGAGCCACCACGCCTGGCCAGATACGTCATATCTGACGTAAATACCTTTGTCTGGTGTTCAAGGTCCAGTTCAGGCTACCTCCTGTGTCTGCTACCTCACATGAACTCTGTTCTGGTCTGGGTTGGCTCCAGGATCCTGCCTCAGCCCGCTCCACTGTCCACTCCACTGGAGTAACTGTTGGCTCCCCTGCCACTATCCAAATGCTGTCCATCCACCCCGCCATGCGGGGGCCGGAAACCTGTGGCCCTCTGGGTCTTTGACTGCAGCCTTTTGACTGAATCCAATTTTTACAGAACAAATCCTTTTACTAAAAGGCATATAACAGAGAAAGACGAAGCTTTTCTTGCCTCCTTTGATGCTTAAAAAATAACAATCTTGAAATCATAAGGCTGCAGGTTCTCTGTTCAGATGCCCCCTTAACTCAACTTTTCTAGCATCAGGATGTGCCACCCAATTGCTCAGTCATGAGATCCGATTGCTTAGGCTTTTCCTATTTTTTCCCTCGATGAGACTACAAGCTTTCTTCGAGCAGTCATGTTTGATACTTTCTCCAGTAATCCTCCTAATGCCCGGCCAAGTAAAAATTCAACAGATATTAGCGACTGATTCATAGCTATAGATATTAGCCTGTCCAAACAAGACAGAAGAAGTTAATGATAAGTTACAGCCTGTTATTTAGAGATTATTATTAGATTTTAAACTAAAAAAAGGAATTTTTTGTCATTTTCCCTTATGTCAGCATCGACGGAGAAAAATGTGACACACATTTTTCTATATGTCTAGAAAGAGAACTACTACTATATGTTACATTAGTTCATTACCTTCTTCTGCCCCCATCCCTAGCATATGCTATGAATCTTCATAGCAGTCAGGGTACATTTTTTTCTAATTAATTTTTTCTCTTTTTGCATTACTGGCAGTCAGTTTTCTTCATGGTCATTTTTCTAAGTCAAACACTTTAATTAAAGTTGGAATGAAAAATCTGATTAAAATCTAAATTGGCTCAAGGAGCCATGATCTTTTGGTCTGCTCTTTGCAGTTACATAATTTACACCCCAAATTGCTACATTAGGACTTTCAGTCCATTTTTCCTTGCCTAAGGCATTTAGAAAGATCTAGAACTTTGAACCAAATAATCCTAATTTGGAAGTTATTGCATACTCAATGTCAAGAATTTCAAGACTAGGAGTAGGTTATGGACTGAATTTCCAAAATAATTTAATTTTTTGAGCAATTCCAAAAGACAGGCTCACAATTTATTTCCTATTGGTTGCCTTTCCTATACAAACCCATTATGTAAATAAATTCAATACTCATCCTAAAATTCATTCTTGGTGATAGATGCTCTGCCTCAATCCAGAAGAAATCAATTAATTTTGACTATATAAATGAATCATCAGTGAGAAAAAGGGGAAGTTGCACATATGGTCTTACCTTTTTCTATTTTCCAAAAACTGTTCTGATGATTAACTTTTTAAAGGTAAGAGCTGAAAACCCAGAAAAAATAATGTTGTGTGCCTAAAAACAAAAATGAAAAATGCAAATCCTGAACTACACAGTTAGCTGATAAATCTGATTCCCACTTAGTGTCTCAGGTGGATGAATTAATAATTTCATAAAAAATGTATGAGACCATCAGGGACATTTGAATTAGAACAAAGCCTGAGAGAACAAAGGTAAGGAAATGGGATGCACTTATGAGAACGCCATAGAAGTTGCTGGGGCGTGCTGTTTTCAAGCTGAGCTTGTGGAGGTCAGTCAGGGTAGCCGGCCCTATTGCTGTCCTCTGCACACTGAAATTGCCTGCCGCGGGCAAAGGTCACTCCATGGTATCAATTACTTGCTGCTACCTGGAAAATTTAATTTCATGCCCTGTAGTAGATCTGCTTTCTTCTCTAGCATGAATGGCAACTGTCTCTGATTGGTAACAAGAATAACTCATTTCCTCAGAGTCAGAAACTTCTCCATTCAGAAAGTCTTCTGCAGATTGCTGGCAAAGCCAGAGGACCTGCTGCATGAATACGAATATGCAGGGTGAATAGAATACAAACTCTGTGCTTGCCCTCTTCCTAACCTTTTAAGACATGGTTTCATTTTTGATGTGTAGTTGAGTCAGTGTAAACTCTTGTGTACCATTGATTTACTACAACATAGAATCTTTCTGTGGAATTCCTCAAAGGAGGGAATGTCTAGAGATGTTAGCAAACACAAAAAGTCTGTATTTTGCAAGCAACAGGGAATCTGGTTGAAGGAAAATTTGTACTGGGTTTAATTTTGCCTGAATATATTTTTCAGGGTTTATAAATAATCTCCTCCCCACCCAAATCATAACCTTTGGAAAGATGAGGTGACAGTTATTTTGACAATGAGATTTATATTGCACTAGGAAGCTGATAGAAATATTTGGAACAGACAAACAAAGAACAAACCCTTTCCATTTGGTCTGCTCCATTATTGACCTGGCTGTGAGCTCCAAAAATGAGAACAAAAAACCCAGAAATCCTTGACAGTAAATGATCCAATGAAATGTTTTTAAACAGATCATATAAATGCTCCTCATTTTTGTTATCTTTGTTCCATTGGCCTTAGTTTCTTATTCAAAAATGTTCCTAATGGTTTCATCAGCATCACAAAGAAAGAGTCAAATGAAAGCTCAAATAAATAGCAGCTTACATTCCAGAGTAGCTAAAAAATTTTTAAAGAAAAGCAGATATGAAAAATTGGAGTTAGTAAATGATGTTTCTTTCAGACTATGTGCATGGAGATGTTTGCACACCCAACATACAGAACACCTTAATCATGCACTTGTGCTTGCCCATAATAGCATCAGTGGAGAACTCACATGCAACTTCTTCCTCTCCAAACCACCCTGCCAGTTCTCATGAATACAATCACATTCATCCAGGCTGTAAAATCTTGTAAGGGAAAGAGAGAACCTTAGGGTTTTATTTAATAGGTGTTGGGTATCTCACTGGGTGGGGACATGGTGGGGGAAATCAGAGAAGATTATGAGGTGGGTGAGAATTGCTTCCTCTCTGGCTATTAGTTCCCAGAACAATGACCCATCTGAGAAAAGCTGTCATTGTTAGAGGAGGCAGCAAATATTATCTGCTGAGGCTCAGGGGTCTTCAAATTATTCCATCCTTTGTATCCTTTGATATAAAAGATAATACTCTACTCCTCCTCCCTATGTTAAAATATGAATGAACGAACTAATCATGTGTTGCTTTAGACTAATTAACTGTTGCTTTAGACTAATAATGATTATGGCTTATTTAAATGATTTTTTAAGATAAAAGTTGAGTAAAAAAAAAAGGTATTCTCAAAACAAAAACAGCCATTTTTAAAAAGGCCTTTTAAAAAAAAGAAAAGAGAGCAAATTATATACATTGGTTCTTTAGACCTACACCTAGAAAAAGAAATTACAGATTTTCTAGTGTTGCTCCCTTGTTATGCAAATGACAAATTGGGTCTCAAAAATCAAAGTGACCTGCCCCAGGTCACATAGCTTCTTAGAGTCAGAAATGTTATTAAAATCCATGTTTCTTAACTCTGGGACAATTTGAGAATCAAAATAAGTGATCAAAGTACGTTATAACTGAATGAATAAAGTAAAAATCCTGATTCCGCACTGATATTAATAAATAAATAAGCAAGTAAATTAATGAGAAGGGAAAGTTTTTTAACTAGAATGTCACCTAATTAATATAAAAGAAATGATACATTTATAGAATTATCAGTGGATGCTAAAACTAGAGAATGAAAGTTTTGATGAGAAACAGGGTATCTACATAGGCTAAAAGGATTTCCCAGCAAGGTAGCAGGGGTAGCAATGGGCTTCCTGCTGGCACCCAGGGCAGTCATCCCTCCCCGCCACAAGCTCTGTACCATGTGTCAGGTAGTCCTGCAGGGGTGGTCATACCTGTTTCCAAAGGGTTTGCAGGGCCTTTGCTCCATGATGCTAGCAGACTTTTCCAATTAATATTCTCTCTTGACTCAGGGAAATGTGTTGACCTCATGCCCTCCCTGATTGGTCTTAATCCCTGCCAGATAAATGATTGACATTCTTTGTTTGAGTGAACCAGTCTTCTAGCTGCCCAAGGCCCTCTCCCATCCTCTCTACTGATGGAGGTGTGTGGAAGGCAGGCGTGTGGTCAACATTGAAAGAGGTCATATTCTAGGAAGGCACTGGTTAGGGCCTAAAGAGTTCAAGAGACAACATGCTTGGAATATGCGCTGTTCTGTGTTTATGCTATCAAACAGCAAATTTAACATGACAATAAAATAAATTATTGTTCATGTTTTCTTACATACTCTAGGCAAGACTTGCATTTGTGGTCATCATCAATGAAACCAAGTAACAACATTTGAGAGTGTCACTAAAAGCCAATATTTACAAACAGCTTGAAAGATGACGCAGTGTCATGAATAAAGAGGTAACTGACTTACATCAGCAGTCCTGGGGAACTGCAAAGGCGAGCAGCTCTATACTGTTTCAATGCACACAGGGCCCAAAGAGTCACAGCATTGTCAGTAATAACAGCATTGCTACCTTTTTCTTGTGGTGGCAGATATGAAATTAGACAGAAACAGTGCATTTGGCAACAAAGAACGCATAGAGATGGCTTAGTTCCTGGACTTGAACAGGAAGAGATGGTGTTTGGACACTATAAAGAATCTTCACCTGCACTTACTGAACCATAAACAAATGCCTGCAGTCCTCTTTTCTATCTATTACTCCAAATCTCCACTAATAAATCACGGTATATTACATTAGCCCATGAATTTTAAAAATATATTTTTAAATAAAATTGTTTATATAAATAGGGGCTCTGTGAAATCCAGCAATGGTAGGAGGGGCCTGACTGTGGCGATGTCTTTGATGACTTAAGAAGTATTACAAGGAGAATTCTCGAGAATTTGTAGTATGTCTCTGTGCCTCAGTTTTCTCACCTGGCTGATGTATAGCTACAAGAATAACTTATCATTTTATGCTGAGAAATATTATTGTCAATATCAAGGTAAACAAATCAGCTGCTCAAAGCACTCTCTCCTGGGGAAGCAAAGTTATGGGATCAGAAATAAGGGAGCCTATTCTACAATGTCATCAGGGATTGACAGCCTGATGCCTATAAACATACTGGGACTCTAGCTTGGGCCAAAAAGGACCCACCTTCCCCTACAGAGTGCTGGATAGGGCACTGACCTGCAGTCTGAGATCATCACACATGGCCGGCCAGTCCTCCTTCTGGTCTGAGTGCCCCTTATTTGTCCCCTGTTGACACTTTCAGATAGGTCTTGCCCTACGAGGGGTCAGAGTCACATGGATACTGTGTATTTCTATTTGAGTTCTTATACTTGATTCTTTAATTCACCAAAGGCAAGGCTTTTTATAAATTCTTCATTTCCAAGTTCCTGGGGAGAAGCTCATGTCTCTCTTGCCAACGAGGGTTCACCTGTGCTACAAAGGATCTGAGACTGTTAACAGACAATGGTTTGGGCTTGATTTTATGGCTCTGTTAGAGAAAGTTTGAGAGTCATTGAAATCTGTATCTCAGCTTGGAAGCTCAGTTTTCTTTGATCACTGGTGGTCTCGGATGCCATTTCTCCCAACAAGGCAGGCTTAGAGGTTCCTGCTTTTCATGCTATTTTAAGAACTCATTCCTCTAGGATTACATTTATATTTCACTGTGCTTATTTTACAATTCTGTCTCCCCCTCTAAAGCACCAGCTCACGAGGATAAGGACCATGTTTCGACTCACCTTTGATTTCTGCAGAGCCAGTGTAATGTCATAGTCAGGATCTTGTACTCTGGAGTCAGATCATCTAATGTGGGTTCCCTGCTGCAGTGTTTCTTCCAACTTCCCGCAGCCTGTTTTTCTCTCCTATAAAATGGGGATATTAATAGTAACTGCCTTATTGGTTGTTGGGAGGAGTAGGGGATGCCACATGTAAAATGCTTAGCACAGTAGCTGCCACTTAAAAACATACACACAAAATATTAGTATTTAGTTAGTAGTGGTTGGTGCATGGAACACAGTTACTCAAAGAAATGGGTACTGGGTGAATGAACAAGAGATGCAGCAAAGCCTGTGAAATGAAGTCACAAATAGAGCTTCAAAACCACAAAATGGGTCCCGAGAACAGCCCATGGACACACAAAGACATTTACTAAATGTGACCCCAGTAGAAGAAGAGATTCTTGTGACTACCACAGATGGGCAAATGAATCTTCAGGCTTCCCAAGACTTTCAGGCATTTCATTCATTCCTTGCCCAAAGAGACATTTCCCTGGAAGTCCCATAGTGAAGACCCAGCCCCACTGGATTACAGAATTAATGTTTGAGGAAGGGACATTGGAGATTGTAGAAATCCATCCCCCGTCACGTCAGAAGGGGGGGGGGTTAGGCCCAGGGGATTAAGGAGCCTTCTGAGGTTAAAGGATGTTATTCCGCCCCAGGGGGGTTCTTGTCATTCCCATTACAAAATTAGGGGACTAGAGGCACACAGGAAGGTGAGTCCTCAAATGTAGGGCCAAAGGTTAACTGCCAAGTTTCCAGGCCCCTTTTGGGGGGAATGTTCTTAAAAGGACCGCCTCAGCACCAAAGCACTGGCATATGTCACTGTGGCAGGTAGACACATCTTAAAACAAACCTCACAAACGCAATTCCAAACACAGCGGGTCGGTAAGAACTGGTGCCTTACATTAGCTCGTGAGTTCATCCCCCTGTCAAGAAGAATGGAATCTCCAGGTAGAAGCAAAACACTTGATCCTCTCCAGAAGGCCAGGGGAATTTAACTTCTTCCCCTTCGAGAACTGATATGATCTCAAGTAACCGCACAGGCTGGCTCACAGGCGGCGCGGGACCTGGCCCTGCTAAGAAGCTGGTAGTTGTTAGTGGGAGCTGGAGGCCCTGGAATAGAGGGGTTTTCAACCACCTGGCTGGCCTTGTGTTTGGTCTGACATCAGCCTTGCCCACTCGGTGCCTGCCTCACCCGCTTGTTATGTCGACCTAGGGAGACGTGTGTCGCCATGGGTTGAAACACAGCTGCAAAGCCCTGCGCAGATGGGATCTGTCCCAATTCTTAAGGGCACTGTTCATTTGATGCCCTCAAAGAGTCTTTGGGTTGAATAAATGTATGATCTGTGCATTCATAAGGTGTGTGTGTGTGTGTGTGTGTGTGTGTGTGATTCTGATAAAGTCGGCTTGTGGGAGAGCTCTTTCCCATGGGGGACAGAATGGAATAGCACATTCAGTGCAGGAGCTTGGAGTTACCTGTGTAACTCAGGCCTCCCCAGCCTAAGGGCCCATGACCACCACCCCTTGCTAGTACCCCCATCCCACCACCTCTTGCTCTCACTTGTTCACGAATGGCTCGGTTACGTGCTCCTGCAATATTTTGGTCTGCGTCGCTGGGTTTTGTTACTATTCTGCCATCTCCTGATGGGCACGGCCATTTTCCTCTGCTAGATCACGCCCTGGGACCACAAGCACACTCCACTCAGGGCACTGTGTGTCATCTCACCGTCCATTCTGTATCCCACTCAGTTGGAGAGGTCTCACAGCAGGCCTGCCTGAGCCCCTTTATTTTTCAGAGTTTTAGAGAAAACCCTCTTTTTTTTTTTTTTAAGACAGGGTCTTGCTCTGTTGCCCTGGCTAGAGTGCAGTGGACAGTGGAGTCATCATAGCTCGCTGCAACCTCAAACTCCTGGGCTCAAGCAATCCTCCTGCCTCAGCCTCCCAAGTAGCTGGGACTACAGGAGTGCACCACCATGCCCGGCTGATTTTTTTATATTTTAGTAGAGACGGAGGGTCTCACTCTTGCTCAGGCTGGTCTCAAACTCCTGACCTTAAGCTATCCTCCCTCCTCGGCCTCCCAAAGTGCTAGGATTACAAGTGTGAGCCACCGCGCCCATGGAGAAAACACTCTTCATTCTTATTTCCTGCTCACACTGTGCTACACTGAGTCCAGTAGAGCAAAACTAAGCGAGGGACTCAGTGTGTGCACAGAATGCGCCCAGACTTCGCCTCAGGTCCAATGGGCTGTACCTGCTTCTTTCCTCAGAAGACTCACTCTCTTCCTTGGGTGCCTACTCAGCCTCCCAGGGTCTGCTCTGCTAGTTTTCTTTTTTCCAGATATTCCAGAATGGTCTGCAGATACTACCTCCCTCTTCCCTTACTCGCCACACCTGCTGTTTCTAACATTCACTCACTCCACAGACCTCTTTGAAGAATAGTTACTCTATGAAATGTTTCTCAAGTTGTAAAATAAAATTGTATTTCAACTCCAAGCAGTGCTGAAAACATCCTGTAACTTAAAACCCTAAAACCCTGTAAGAAATTGCCTTATGAAAAATCAAGGGACTCGGTGCTGTGATAATTTTATCACCTACATTCAGTTTTAAGAGATGATGTAAACCTGAACACTGAAATGGATTAAAAGGGCTTTATTAGAAATATTTACTTACAAATTACATCGTAATGAGACTTTCCTTCCCCTCCACCTTCTCGTTTTCCTGGAGGTAGGCGCCGGGAGGAGCCGGAGGGAGGACTGCAGGAGCTGGACAGGAGGGTGGTTCTGGGGGGCAGTTGGGTGGGGTGGGGAGAGGGATGAGCCCCCCACTCCTCTCTTTTAACTCCTCTGTTTCTCACCCCTTAGCCTCTCTACCTCCCCAGGATGGCCCACCTATCAAAACAGCTTCATTAGTGCGTATTAGGAGGGCTTGGGTGCTGGGAGGTCGGGATCCAGAAAGGGAAGAAAGAAGGCACTCAAGACAAATCCTCTTTATTTTGGAAGTTTGTTAACATCTTTTTCTCTAATCAGAGAGCAGATTACAAACCGACCCCACGGCCCCTTATGCTGCTTAAGCAGTCTGATACAGGAATGAGAGAAGGAAAGGTGGGCAAAGTTGTACCTCCCCACCCCTTTGAATCCTTCTCTTCAAGCTAGTCTCCTCCCCTCCCTTCTGCTCCCTTCTCAGCACCCACAGATTCATGTAGCAACCATCCCAGCACAAGCAAACACCTTTCAGGAGAGTCACTTGTGGCTTAGTGAAATAAGAACAGCAGAATTCACGTGCCTCGGTTCACATGAGTGGGGATGGAAGTTGCTGGGGAGAGCTTTTGGAGAGAGGTCTGGAGGAACTGTTGTGGCTGAAGTTGGCAGAGGCCAGCGTGAGGGCTGTGGGTCTTGAGAAGTCTTCCATGAGTCTGCCAATACTGAGTTAGGTGTTTCTCCTATGTACTCCCATAGGGCTTCCCTCCTAGCTTTAGTGCTCATCCCACCACCGGTTCTTCATGTTCTCCCATGACACTGTAAGTGTCCTGAACAGCACGGTATTCCCAGCCCCTGGCCATAGCTCCCAGAGGGAGTGCAACAAAGATAGCTTGTTTATGAATGAAATGGGCTACCATATTGGAAATGTCATGGGACTGGGACTTAAAGGACGAGGGAATTCTTGCTCTACCATTTATTAATACTAATGGGGCTGGGCACTCAGCCTCTCTAAACCTCAGTTTTTTCAATAGCAGAATAGCTCAATGTACCCATTCTACTAGTGAAATAATGGAGCAAAATGAGATAATATATGTAAAAGGACTTTATAAACTGTATAGTGCAAGGCATATATAAGATATTATTATCCAGATTAAGCTTGAGCAAAGAAAGTTTGATACTGGACATTCTATGTAAAGCAAGTGTCTTAGTCTATTCAGGGAGTTATAACAAAATAATGTTTTATTGTCTGTTCAGGGTGCTACAACAAAATATTGTTTTATTGTTCACAGTTCTGGAGACTGAGAAGTCAAAGATTAAGGTACCGGAAGTTTTGGTGTCTTGTGAGGACCCATTCCTCATAGATGGCACATACTATATGTCCTTACCCAGCAAAAGGGGTGAAAAAGTTCCCTCGGGCCTCTTATATAAAGGGCACTATTCCCATTCATGAGGGCTCTGCCCTTATGACTTAATCACCTCTCAAAAAGCCCCACTCCTTAATATTATCACATTGGGGATTAGGTTTAAACATATGCATTTTGGGGAAGTTACAGACATTCGGACCATAGAAGCAAGTCAGTACTTAGGGTATAGACTTTTGTAATTCTAGCTCTCTGACCTCAGAGAAAAATTACAGAAATGAAAATAAAATTACAATAATAAGCAATAATAATAACAATATTTTAATGTTTTGTAAATACTGTATTTACTTACTATGTGTCAGGAATTGTGTTAAACAGTGGCATGCATTATTTTATTTAAGACTCATAATCACATAAAGTAGATACTATTATTATGCTAATTTCACACATGAGAACTCTGAGGCTTAGAGGGTCATGTGACCTACCCAAGATCCTATGACTGGTGGATCAGAATTCAAATGGGGTCAGAAAGGAGTTCTACTCAGAAAGAGTGAGACCCTATCTCTACTAAAAATAGAAAGAAATTAGCCTGGCAAATAAAATAGAAAAAATTGGCCAGATGTGGTGACATATCCCTGTAGTCCCAGCTACTTGGGAGGCTGAGGCAGGAGGATCACTTGAGCTCAGGAGTTTGAGGTTGAGCTAGGCTGATGCCATGGCACTTTAGCCCGGGCAACAAAGCAAGATTCTGTCTTAAAACAAAAAAAAAGAAAGAAAAAAAAAAAGAAAGAAAGAAAGAAAGAAGGTCTAGATATCTGACTTTGCAGCCCCGCTCTAAATTGTATTACTAAACTGTCAAATTACTATCAGGACCAGTTTGAAGCATCTTAGAAAGGAGGCCTTAACTAAAGACAAGGGGTCCTATGTTTGAATCTTGATACTTGTAAAATGGTGTTACGGTTGTTTTTCTCAAAGAATTACAAAAAAATGATTGTTTGTCAAACACCAAGGTCGCTCGGGGGGCG